TTATAAAGTATGCCATGGTCGATGACGTCAAATGCAGCTGACAAGTCCAGCATGACAAGCACCGCTCTGCACTTGTTATCCAATGCAGAAGCTATATCACTATGTACACGTAGGAGGGCCGTCTCAGTAGAGTGTCCCATGCGGTAGGCCGATTGCATGTTGTCATGGAGACTGTTTGCATGGAGATGAACCTCTAAACGCCGGGACACAACCTTCTCCAAGATCTTAGACAGAAAAGGCAGATTTGAAACTGGGCGATAGTTTTTCAACTCCTCCTTGTCCATTCCAGGCTTTTTTAACAATGGTCTGACATGTGCCTTCTTGAAACATAATGGAACCGTTGACTCAACCAATGATTTGTTCATGATTGCGGTAATCAAAGGAAGCAGTGCTTCAAGACATTGCTTTAATAGGTCTGTAGGCAGTGGATCAAGCTCACAGGACTTCGATTGCGAAAGAGGAATTCATTAGATGAATTTAACTATACAATGCAATATAATGCAATTAATTTTATCGAAAGTGTCTAAAGTTTTTGTAAACTAACCAACATAAACCTCGTTAGAAGTCGAAGTCGACGGGATTGCGGAAAGAAAATCTTCGAGATATTAGAGTTTAGCGAGCTTTCATGTTTGGTATTAAGTGTGTTAAAATGTTTGGTCAAATATGAGACTATCTGCTTAACTACTTTAAAACTCGCATGCTGTCTCAGACATCGTGCCTCAGATGCGGAAATGAAAATGCGCAAGTCTGTACACAAATAACTGTTTGACAGGCACAATTAACCCTATTAAACATGGATATGCTTCTATTTTTAACAAAACCATCACTTAGGATACAGGGTCACGTTACAATCACACATGCTATACTGATATGGGTCATAACACACATAAACGGTGTATGTTTATGGGTGTTGTGACCCATATCAGTATAGCATATATATGTGTGATTGTAACGTGACCCTGTGCTTAGGAGGAAATACTTAGAGCAGTGGAGGCTGCAGAGTTAATAAGGCGGCAGGAATTGATGAACTACCGGCTGAAGTTCTAAACAATGGTACAGCGATAGGACTACTCTACACTATTTGTAAGGAATGATTTCAGCTCGGTAAAGTACCTACATAGAAGAACAGTGGCATTATTAACCTGATATTTAGAACTGGAGCTGACAACAGGAAAAAGCATTTAAATCAAGATAAAGGATCATTATCTACGTATTTTTCACCGCCTGGCGGTGTAATTGTAAGATCAAAAGAATGGAGGGCAGACGACTGATTAGTAGGATTGTGAGATGGCCGGCCAGATATCGACAGGGATGGAGTTCACGGTTAACACATTTCTGAATGATCGGACATTCCACGAACCAATCGGCGATACCTGTCCCAGTTTCATGTTACATATATAGATGATAAAAACCATATCCTTTTAATGGCACATTTAAAAAACATACGCGTTTGCCTTGCAAATCTAAACACCATTTATATCAACCCTTTTCAATGATATATTTTAATGGACAAATGCGAAACAAAACCCCTGATTAGTATGAAAACGAGACCTCGGATTTCATTAAATTTCTATACTTAAAGCTCAAGTGTTAATCATTATAGCAAATAAAAATCATACGGTTTATATACTGGATAAACCCATCTTTTGGATTGTTTTGCTCTATTCCCTCCCTTGTTTTGGTGAAAGGCACCATGTCACTACTGCCTCCAGATCACAAAAAGGTGATGCGCGGTAGTAAACAATCGTCATTTTCCAAATACTGAAATAGACATTCTCGGGGGAAGAGCATCATATTTTTACTAATGAAGACTTTGACTTATACAGGGGGCAGCAATGGGGTTATTTGTGGAAATTAGTCTTCATATCTCTCAATTAGGGTTCAGTTTGGTATTAACCAACTTTAATATCTAATATCACAAAAAAAAAGAATGAATATGTGAATAATTGAAGTCTATTGCCGCCATATGGGACAGAGTAGGGAGGCTTAAATATCGTCCGTAAGTATAATTCTTTGTAGAAATTGGAAATAAGGGATAAAATCAGGAAAAGAAAGCCATTGTCTAGAACAATTTTGATAAGATCATAATAAATTTCATGAAAATGATTAACAAAAATGTGTATAGTTTTTGTGTTTTGTCCGATCACTTATTATTTTGCAGAAACAACCTTATAACATGGCACTATATATTCAGTTGAAACAACTGTTTCGTATTCAATGTAGTTTTTTTCTATCTCCCATCAGTACAGAGTGGTAAGATATGGAATTCGCAATATAATTGAAAAATTGCACACAAGTTTTAACTTTCAACTTAGTTGTAGAATCTTTAGTAATGAGAAGAAACCATTCCAGTTATAAACATTTTTGTTGGACTGAATCAGGGCCAGTTTTACAGTTCAGACAGAATTTAAACCATAAGACACATTTATTTTTCCTTATTTCTTACCAAAATGATATTTAAGGTTCAACAAGCCCCCTAAAAGATGTAATAATCACCCTAAATTTCAACCCCTGGTAAGTCATATTCAAATACCCTTATTAAAACTCGGAATATACAACTGTAATTTAAATATATTGAACTTGAACTCGAGCTATTTAAAAGGTCGTTAACATAACCAGGTTAACTTAGGAAATTATAAAGCAATAAGGCTGATGTCTTCATAAAATAGCTTACCGGACGTATAACATGTCAATCTGTTTAGTGACCTAACTGAATTCTGCGAAATGACATATTATTTAAAGTTCATTTATATACCTAGGTCATGCGGAGCTTAATGAGCAAGAAGAGGAGAAATAAATCTCTGCATGAATGAACTGTAAAATGTGGGACATTTCTTTGCACTCAGTTGGATCGCTAAAGAGATTGACATGTTATAAGTCCGGTGAACTATTTTTATGAAGACATCAGCCTTAATGCCATATTTTCGTTAACCTGGCTATGACATGTATTTTAATAAAGCCAATGTACAAGTTCAATATATATGAATAACATATATAAATTCCGATTTTTAATATATTTCTTAATATGACTTATCAGGGGTTGAAACTGTAGGTGACTACTATAATGGGGCTTGTCAAACCTTAAAGTAAGTAGTATATGTACAAGGAGAAGTTATCATGTTATTAAGCTTTTGTTTATGTTATTCAAAATGCAAGTGATAAACATGGTTATTTTGTTCCTTTTTGGACTTACAATTGCCTTCGAATCAGTCATGAAGGCGAAATTCGAAAGTTGATATTTTTGTGTGTTAAGTTCAGTCTCATGAATTTGTATGTTTATTTCATGTACAACCTTTAACAAATACTAACTAGTCTACTTTGTCAAAATTATGATGTACTTTGTTTTAGAAATAAATACTTGAGATCAGGATGAGGTTAAGAGGCGCTATATCCAAATTGTCTATTATGGGGTTGCTGACCAGGAATGACCGAAGTTTGTGCCTCAGAGACAAGAGACAGTGCTCATTAAATTTAAAAGAGCTTGATAAAAACCATGACAAGGAACATTACTATACCTTGCCAGTGTCGTTCCAAACTCGAACCCCAGGGGAGAGGATGACGATGGATATTGGTATTTGGGACGTGCGTCCAATCACCCTGACAGCACACACACCACTGGTTGTTACTCTTCATGGAGTACCTGGATCCTCTCAGAATTTTGACACCATAGGAAGACGACTCACAGAGCATGGCATCAGAGTGGTTGGGTTGGATTTTCCTGGTAATCTTTAAATTCTTAATATTAATATCGGACACGTTAAGTACTCTTCGTTGGTTGAATATTTTGACCCGTACCCACTATAGGTTTTCTCTCTCAAGACTCATTAGATAAACCAGCTAGGATTGGGTAATCATTTTTGGTTTCCCACTAGTGGGTAACAACAGGGGACGTGCTTTCCTATCGGTCAAAAGATCAATCTTTAAATACATCAAGTAACAATGCTGTGCAATTTTTCGGTGTATAGTTCTTTGATATATCATAAAGAGGACGTAGATTCACCCAGAAAATTCCAAGATATTTGTATCACTCTGTTAATTATATCAATTGTATTTAGCATTTGGAAAAAGCAGACTCTCTGAACGGAATATATATCGTCTTGACCATAGCACAGAGGGGAGGTACCAGATGCTGACCACTATACTCAACACCCTGGGTATCTGTAGGTAAGTATACATATATTTACGAAAGGGTATCTCCACACATTTTTGTTCTATTTGCAAATGTACTAGTATTCTTGGAACTGATATTACACAATAGTCTATGACTGGGGAAATCTGAGCGCAAGCTATTTATACATTTATCGTTCATATTTCGCTGAAAACTATTCCATTTAGAACCCGTATTTACTTTGATTTTATACCTTAATGAAAAAAACACCAGTTATACATACTTTCTCTTTGACAAAAGAGGTAGTGGATATGAAAGTGGATCTATTTTGCACGAGGAAAACATAATTACTGTACCTTAATTGAATTGATGATAACATTTTAATACATCTGCAACAACGTACTTTTAAAAGTTCGGGCATACTACAAAATACATTCTCCGTGTGATGTATATAACGTTACTGAATGGTGTAATGATAAATGATTTTGACAACATAATAAAATGCTATTTTTAATTGCTACGTTCTACATAATCAAAAGACTGCAATATGTATCATTTATTATTATTAGGATTGATGTTTTGTTGAGCCACAGTGGCGGAACCTGGTTAAACTATAAGGCTGCAGCTGACCTTCAATGTGTTAAATCTTCTCTACTTCTTAACCCGCTTGGAAAGAGAACCCTTCGGTAACTGTTGTTTGGCAAAATCAGAAATAAAAAAAAAGAGATCGAAATGTTTGTTCCACTAATGGTTAATGATTTTTTATTGTTTTTGTTTTGTTTGTTTGATTGATTTTGATTTGGTTGTTTGGTTGTTTGGTTGTTTGTTGTTGGGTTTGTTTTTTTTTTTTTGGGGGGGGGGGGGGGTAAAATTTAACAATGTAATTAATTAAAGTAAACGGTTAAATAAATTAAATTATATGTTATGGTGGGTAAAGCAGAAATCATTGAAAATATGTACTGGTAGATTATTGACAAATATTTAACCATTTGTTGTTGATAAATCCTCTCTTGGTAACTCAGAAACTTGATAACTACTCGGCAATAACCACACGGATGATTCTTCAGAGGAACATGACTAACAAATGATGTCATATGCATTATACAAACTAATATTCTGATTTTCGTTGACAGCCCACTTCGTCCTTTTGTGGTATTCAAACTTTTTGCTAGACTCTTGAGGAATCCATTTCTGCACTCAAAGTTCAACAAATCTCTTCCATTTATTTATAAATTTTCAGGTAAGCCAATATTTTTCATTAAGTGTTTAAATGAATGCATTAAGATGGTTTGAGCATAATGCGAGAATTGATTCCGCAGCTTATGAATATAAACTATTTAGCCAAGTAAACAATTTTAGATACATATATGTATAAACCAATTATTATTGTTTAGTTGAGCTAGTTGTGCAGGTACATGATACATGTAGTCACAAGGTATTACGTCAATAGTTTGTTAGAATCAGTGGTTTACCCATGTTTTTGGAATGTCATCTCTATGACCCTGTTATCTTTTCCCTTTGGACTGACATATCGTTGTTAGAATCAGTGGTTTACCCATGTTTTTGGAATGTCATCTCTATGAACCTGTTATCTTTTCCTTTTGGACTGACATATCGTTGTTAGAATCAGTGGGTACCCATGTTTTTGGAATGTCATCTCTATGAACCTGTTATCTTTTCCCTTTGGACTGACATATCGTTGTTAGAATCAGTGGTTTACCCGTGTTTTTGGAATATCATCTCTATGAACCTGTTATCTTTTCCCTTTGGACTGACATATCGTTGTTCACACACATTAACGTGCGTGCGCCATTTCTAGGTGTTCTAACAGTTTGGATGGAAGTAATATTGTTTATATTTAGCTTACATGCGTTGTTGGAGTTGTATATCTTGTACTAAAGCCCGTTGCTACACAAAGACAACAACAGAAGTTCTAGTCTAGAGTGATCCTAACACCGCCAATCATTGACAGATCATGGCTATTGTTTTGGCTACTCGTTTTTTGATTTTTTTTTCATATTTGCTCGCCAGAGGCTTGCAAACATGAAAAATCGAAAAACTTGTATCATAAATCTAATATGAAGGGAACCTTATGACAGATCCTCTATATAGGTTTGTACTACCAGTTCTAATAATCAACAAAATTCAGAGTCACATGAAAAAAATGGCCAGAAGAGGGACACTTGTTGTTGCCAAAAGAAAGGTTAAAGTCTACTGGTGAAACTTGTCATAGAACTCTACAAAGATATCGTCAACCAGGACTCGACAAATGTATAGTCAACCAGGAACTCGACAAAGATATAGTCAACCAGGAACTCGACATCGATTCAGATTAGCTCAGAATTGAAAATTACTTAGACGCAAACAAATACAAAGACACTTATTGTCAAAATGACATTGCAGTCATGCCTTTATAACTTTAAGACTAGATAATACTATCTGTTACTTGTCTTTATTTACATTTGCTCTGTATCCTTTCATTGTAATACATTGAGAAGGCAAATGTTGTTGTGAGACTATAACAACATTTCCAATTGTAACGGTTTAACGTCACTAATCTCTATAACATGTATGACGTCGTCAATTTCATTTATGAAACACTTTAAAATTTACTGTTGAAAAAATGTTCGAAATATGTTAATAAAGCAAAACAACTCTGTTAAAATGTAAATATAAATAATGAATTTATTTAGCAAATATGTTTGCCCTACCGGGCTTTATTAAGTTTGTCATCAATAGCATTGTGTGTTATAGTACCATAACAACATTTGCTAAAACATTACTTGACTAAATATATATAATTAATTAAGTATGCTGTAATAACATCATCACAACGTAATCACCTACCTATTAGTACTGATAATTTTGACAGAAGTTCCAGAATGGTTTCTGATAGATGTGTGAAATTGCCACCATAGAAAAATAGATTTTTAGAGGACACTCCATATCTTCATTCTAATGGTTCTTTACAGTTGTAAGTATTGAATATATAAAGCGATATGTGTGTTCTATATAGGATTTAAGTTGGCCGAAGAAGACTTTTCGCCATTGCCAGTAGCCGTTGAGACCATAGTAAGAACAGATTATGAAAAGGTAAGTACACAATGGTAATAATTGCAATAAACATAATATCTATATAGCGCCACACTTAGCTTGCATGTCACTTAAATGCGCTTTTCATGACATGTAATGTACATGTAGTTGTTTCAGGTTAGCATTAATATGCAGTTAGTTGATATTATTGGGTGCCAAAGAGTCTCAAATGCATACGTAAGCATGCGTCAAACTGGTAGCAAATAGTAGTTAAAACAACAGGTTTTCATATGTCACAGTAGGAGAATTTGGAACACATCAACATATATTCCATCTCCGACTGTAATGATAGAGATAATGTCGACAAGCTCCCGTAAATCTGAGGAGGAGCTGTCTTATTCAGCTCCTTGTATGTTTACATCACCATTTTGTACTCCTTGTATTTGTATCGTACAGGTAAACAATGCAATGAATAAATCACTGTATGTAGTAGTCGTGTTTTAGTACGGGTAACTGTATGTTTACATCACCATTTTGTACTCCTTCTTGTATTTGTATCGTACAGGTAAACAATGCAATGGATAAAGCACTGTATGTAGTAGTCATGTTTTAGTACGGGTAACTGTATGTTTACATCACCATTTTGTACTCCTTCTTGTATTTGTATCGTACAGGTAAACAATGCAATGAATAAAGCGCTGTTCGGAGTAGTCATGTTTTAGTACGGGTAACTGTATGTTTACATCTCCATTTTGTACTACTACATGTATTTGTATCGTACAGGTAAAGAATGCAATGAATAAAGCACTGTACGTAGTAGTCATGTTTTAGTACGCGTAACTGTATGTTTACATCACCATTTTGTACTACTACACGTATTTGTATCGTACAGGTAAACAATGCAATGGATAAAGCACTGTATGTAGTAGTCATGTTTTAGTACGGGTAACTGTATGTTTACATCTCCATTTTGTACTACTACATGTATTTGTATCGTACAGGTAAACAATGCAATGAATAAAGCACTGTACGTAGTAGTCATGTTTTAGTACGGGTAACTGTATGTTTACATCACCATTTTGTACTACTACATGTATTTGTATCGTACAGGTAAACAATGCAATGAATAAAGCACTGTACGTAGAAGTCGTTTTATAGTACGGGTAACCAGACTTGCTACAGTGTTCTATAGAATCAGAAATAGTATAGCGAATGGACATTACCATGTCGTTCATACCGCTGAATAATTTATAGTTCGACAGGCACATCTCGTTGGCTTGGTATTAACGCATTGAAAACATGCAGTGGTCGGGCATCTACAGACGGCCAATGGACAGCGCACCCACATTTCACCAGCACAGTCGCGGGGTTGGACTACCCGACTGGACGTGAACAGATATTGGTTGTTTGCCCGAGCACGTGGGTTTTCTCCAGATACATTGTACTACATTTTTCCCCGACACGGACCCTCCGGACAAATAGTATATAAGACCACAGGAGCCTGAAGTTCTGTCAATAATGAATAATAACAGTAATACAAAAAAATACCTATTTTTAAGCATATTACAGATATTTTTTTGTATTACTGTTATTATTCATTATTGACAGAACTTCAGGCTCCTGTGATAAGACCTAGTAAAACTGGTATGGTAACTGTGGTTAAATAAATTTATATATTAGTGTTCATATTAAACAGCATATCTACGATAAACGGGACATCTTAAATTTCATGATATCTTTCATCGCTTTCAGTACTGGTGAAATACTTAACTTTCATGTTTTTGAGGATTACACATCACCGTTGTTTTGTAGTATGTTACACTTCTATTTTTGTTGTAGGTGTCACGCATGTTGTACTCAGGTTTCCTATCACAATGCTTCAGTCTACGTGACAATAACTGCAGTCGTCTCCATGCCATTATTTCATCCATTTTTTTTTTTATATTTTTATATTTTTCATTTTACAACTTGTTTGATTGCTATTGTTGCTGCAGTTGGACCATTTATCCCCAGAGGAACCAGAGACATAGAACTCGATTTATCGACTTAGTTTGTAAAAATGTTACATTTTATGGTCATTTTTAATCATATTGATATAATGTATGTATTTAGCTTTCGTCGCCTTCAGCATTGCCAGTCCAATGCAGTAAGGTTTGTACTTCTTGTGTTTTGTTCCAACAAGACATTTCACATATATCATGCTTGAAGACTTGTTCACTGTTTACAACAACACTTTCCTAAGTTGTATGTGTGTAAATCATGACTAGGTCTGCAATGTTTAGTTGTTGACTAATTCCAGTTTTTGATACTTGTTTGATATACATTATAATGTATATTGTTTCGTACTTTCAGATGCAGGGATATGCCGAAAAAATGTCATCCAAAAAGCATCCGTTTGTGATGGCCACAACTCAGAATGATCAATTTGTGGAAATACAGATTGCCATTGAAATGGCCCAGCATATGGGGATAGAAGAAGGGGAGATAACCGAGTACAGCAATGGTAGCGCAACTAGTGGTGATGCTGTTGGTAAATGTAAGTTTAAACTTTCCATGGAATTAATTTACATCACTTTATTTGATCATAACATAAAAGCAGAGGAAGATATTGTGATGCAGATGTGCACGTGATTTGCGCACTAAATAGCGCACCTGTTATCATGTCATGTGCCAGCCGGGAAAATGGTTATGTCAACAACGATCCAAGACATATAGATATGAAAAATAGGATCGTACAATTTCGTACACGCAGACTGAAGACTGGCTATATATTTTACCGGTGAACAATAGAGATATAGAGATAACGAATCAACTATGACATAAGTACTCCATCAACAAGGACATGTGTTAAACTATAGCTACCACCCAGATTTTTGTGAAGTCAGGAGTCGCGAGTACATTGTAGAGTTCGGCAATCGCTAAGGAGGCAGGACCCAAATTGGATCAGAGTCCAAATCGGATCACTCTTTGCAAAAATACTTATCAATCAATAATGTATCCTTCTATTACATACATAGCAATGCATCATTTTTAGTCAGGATATGATTAACTTTTAAGTTCAAATAGCATCAGAAGAGGTATTTCAAACTCAAAATCTAGTTTTTTGTTAACGTTGTTTGAAACTGCGCATGCAAGGACCATAGAAGTGTATTTTGGACCGTAGGAATAAAGAATATGAACATTCTTTTATTCGTTCAAATTCCAAAGATCTTCATAATATGTTAAAATACTGACAGCAGGAAACGCGAATTGGTGACGCCAATGTTTTCTATAAATATCGCACGTGAGCCCTATAGGTGTTTATTTCGTTGGTAAGAACACGATATTCTTCTTTTGATACAACCATAAACTTATATAATCCATCCACTGAATTTTCAATGAAAGAAGATAATGATGGTTTGGTGATCCATTTTGTTTACTGTCACCTTACATTGTCATAACGTAAACAAACGGTGGCCGATTCGTACCATTTCTATCCCCTTTTACCCAAAAAAGGACGAAATGTAACATCGACGTTTTCTCAATTATCAACTTTTAGAACTGAATTAAAATGTTTCACTCCGGTGTCTATATCTCACCTACCTGAATGGAAAGAGCGTCGATCTACTGACACTGATCAGAAATGTGATATGACAAAATCCAATAACCTATGTTATTGAACAGCATTAAATACGTACTTAAAATAATTCGGAAAAGACCGCATTTTACTTTATATTCCCGAACATATGTGGTCTGTTATCACAAGAACAATTTGCTTGTCTTAATGCTACATCAGTAATGATAGGTCATGATACAACAATAAATACATTAACTTCGTGGAAAATATTTTTGGCATTGAAAGAAATTTCTACATATGGAACGTTTTTATAACCGGTAACACATATTTGTAAAAAGAAATAGGAAGTCAACGATTAATAAAACGGCCGGTGTATTTTTTGCAGATGACGACACATTCTACAGACGAGTCATCTTGTTTGAGAAGGGTGGACATTTAGTACACAAAATCAATGAGACAGAGATCGTCCAACAAATACTGCAGCTAGTGGCAGTTGTCAGCAGCCACTGACATGTGTATCCCCGAGACCCATTTACTTACTCAACGACGCTAGAGACAACACAACAAGTACATCTCGTGATGCAACTTCACAGTTCGGACACACAGGGTATTATGCCTGGAACACTATACTCTAAAGTAGTTAATCGTGTCGATGTTACTTTTTTGTGAGCATACGTTAATCAACCATGTCTGATGTATATTACCGGTACGCAGAAAAAGTGAGACTTCAAAGCCCATTTGTAAAAACAATCCTGTTCTAAAAACCATCGTGTCCTCAACGATTGCGAAAAGCTGATAGGTAAACTTACAAGAGATCTATTGCTGATGTCATTTAACGGGAGCAATGTAACAGATGATTTTAATCAGACTGGCATGTCACCATGTATCGTGAAAAAGCATGAAGTTTCTGACGGAAATACTATAGAATACAAAAAACTCGCACGTATTTTAACAAGAACAACCAACTCGATTTCAACAGCATTGACAGCAAAAAGCAAACAGATACGACTATCGTGGATGCGATGAAAAATGCTTCATCTTCTTGATGTGTACAAGTGTACAAGTATTCCTGTCAATGGAGACCTTGTTGCCTTTCTAAGATGAACTCTCTGATGGCTTTCTTCCCTGGTAGATTAAGTGAAGGATCTCCCTGAAGGAAGGTAACTATTGGAGACAGTGAAATGCAGTTGACGACAATCAAACGTTGGTGTAGGATTTACATCAAATCGCAGCTTGACTACTTCCGTGATTTAAATGAGAGAAAAGGGGCGTAAATCACTGAACTCACACATCGATACAATTGACATTTATCATAATGGAATGCATCCTCTGATAGAGCAAAACAGTGTGACTCGAGTAGTGCTACCATGTTGTATGGCTGTGAACTATGGAACACTTTCACTAAAAGTTTTGTTTTAAAGTTAGACAAATCACAGAGGTACGCCTGCAGCCGGTGTTGTTCTACCAAAAATGTTGTCAACTGTGGCAACCACTCAGTCACTCGGTATTTTGTCTTTATGAAATGCTGTGAAAATGTGAAAGTGAGCGTTTTGAAACAAACTGTATAACTTAAGCATCGTATTTATTTATCTGGAACGCAATATATTTCTCAGTTTTATTCATGAGCCTTACAAGAGAATTCGAATAGGATTCATTTCTAACATCAGTATTTTTGAAAAGTTTGGAATAATTTCTGCTGTGAGTGATACATCCCAAATCACGCTGGGTCGTTTTAAGAAACGTCTTTAAACTTGCTATTACGATCGACAATGACGCGAGGATATGAACTGCAGACCAAAGATACACATATAAAGCTCAGATTCATTCTAGCCAAGTAGTAAATCCAGTGTTGCAGTGAAACATAAATATTCTGTGCCTGCGTTGGAAATAACTTAAGTAATGAAACTTGCGTTTCTATATACAACAGAGAAGTTAATGTGAGGAAGAGTCTAACGCAGTAACCTCATTTCCTAACGCCAAGTCCTAATCAGTGCAAAAGTGGAGATGTATTATCAGATCAAGTAAAGAACAATGTAGACGAGCATGGCTACCGTGCTGTCAAAATTAGGTGATACGGGGCAGTGCAGCTTCCCTCTACGTGACTGTAGAGTTATTTCTGTTATTGATAATGTCTTAGGGCACCTGAAGGTAAACTTCAAAAGAATGTTGAAACCAATGTTCAGTGTATTTATATATATTAATTCCAATTGACAAGGAAATAAAGAAAGTCTGTATGTCTAGCATGTGAGGGCTGTACTTCATCCATGGGCATTATTTTCAAATATTGAATTTTTCTAATATATAAATGCTCTTCGGCAGTTTTTCATAAATAAACGAATATTAGGTCAAAGATGACAGTAAATCATATTTAAATATGGCATACCCACCACTTATTACTGTAGATCTCCACAACACTTCAACTTCAATATGGCATACCCACCACTTATTACTGTAGGTAGATCTCCACAACACTTCTGATCAACTTCAATATTGCATACCCACCACTTATTACTGTAGATCTCCACACAATTCTGATCAACTTCAATATGGCATACCCACCACTTAATACTGTAGATCTCCACAACCCTTCTGATCAACTTCAATATGGCATACCCACCACTTATTACTGTAGGTAGATCTCCACAACACTTCTGATCAACTTCAATATGGCATACCCACAACTTATTACTGTAGATCTCCACAACACTTCTGATCGACGTCGATATGGCATACCCACCACTTAATACTGTAGATCTCCACAACCCTTCTGATCAACTTCAATATGGCATACCCACCACTTATTACTGTAGATCTCAACAACACTTCTGATCAACTTCAATATGGCATACTCACCACTTATTACTGTAGATCTCAACAACACTTCTGATCAACTTCAATATGGCATACTCACCACTTATTACTGTAGATCTCAACAACACTTCTGATCAACTTCAATATGGCATACCCACAACTTATTACTGTAGATCTCCACAACACTTCTGATCGACGTCGATATGGCATACCCACCACTTAATACTGTAGATCTCCACAACACTTCTGATCAACTTCAATATTGCATACCCACCACTTATTACTGTAGATCTCCACAACACTTCTAATCAACTTCAATATGGCATACCCACCACTTATGACTGTAGATCTCCACAACACTTCTGATCAACTTCAATATTGCATACCCACCACTTATTACTGTAGATCTCCACAACACTTCTGATCGACGTCGATATGGCATACCCACCACTTAATACTGTAGATCTCCACAACCCTTCTGATCAACTTCAATATGGCATACCCACCACTTCTTACTGTAGATCTCCACAACACTTCTGATCAACTTCAATATTGCATACCCACCACTTATTACTGTAGATCTCCACAACACTTCTAATCAACTTCAATATGGCATACCCACCACTTATGACTGTAGATCTCCACAACACTTCTGATCAACTTCAATATGGCATCCCCACCACTTATTACTGTAGATCTCCACAACACTTCAACTTCAATATGGCATACCCACCACTTATTACTGTAGATCTACACAACACTTCTGATCAACTTCAATATGGCATACTCACCACTTATTACTGTAGATCTCAACAACACTTCTGATCAACTTCAATATGGCATACCCACAACTTATTACTGTAGATCTCCACAACACTTCTGATCGACGTCGATATGGCATACCCACCACTTAATACTGTAGATCTCCACAACACTTCTGATCAACTTCAATATTGCATACCCACCACTTATTACTGTAGATCTCCACACACTTCTGATCAACTTCAATATGGCATACCCACAACTTATTACTGTAGATCTCCACAACACTTCTGATCGACGTCGATATGGCATACCCACCACTTAATACTGTAGATCTCCACAACCCTTCTGATCAACTTCAATATGGCATACCCACCACTTCTTACTGTAGATCTCCACAACACTTCTGATCAACTTCAATATGTCATACCCACCACTTATTACTGTAGATCTCCACAACCCTTCTGATCAACTTCAATATGGCATACCCACCACTTATTACTGTAGGTAGATCTCCCCAACACTTCTGATCAACTTCAATATTGCATACCCACCACTTATTACTGTAGATCTCCACAACCCTTCTGATCAACTTCAATATGGCATACCCACCACTTATTACTGTAGGTAGATCTCCACAACACTTCTGATCAACTTCAATAAAATATATAGGATTGAAGTAATGCCCTGATTCATGAGTATCGACTGGCTCCAATTCAGTGGATAAATGACCCCAGAAAGCACACAACATACATCAGGGAGAATCAATACATCTTCAGCTGTAATAGTACACACAAAAAACTACTCAAATGTTTTAAAGTATCACAGATTTCATATTTTAATGTGTCCGCATACACTTTTTGGGTGACTTTTAAGATACAAGAGGTGTGGCATCCATACATTTTTACATGATGACATCCATACTTTTCCCTCCACACACATCACAGTACGAAATACAAGTGAACAAAAAACTGCTCTACACATACTTTTCCCCAACATAAGGAGCCATTCATAACTTCCTGAAGCAGTCCATTCTCTCCTGGTCACAAACTGTCGTTATGAGAACTTCCTGAAGCAGTCCATTCTCTCCTGGTCACAAACTGTCGTTATGAGAACTTCCTGAAGCAGTCCATTCTCTCCTGGTCACAAACTGTCGTTATGAGAACTTCCTGAAGCAGTCCATTCTCTCCTGGTCACAAACTGTCGTTATGAGAACTTCCTGAAGCAGTCCATTCTCTCCTGGTCACAAACTGTCGTTATGAGAACTTCCTGAAGCAGTCCATTCTCTCCTGGTCACAAACTGTCGTTATGAGAACTTCCTGAAGCAGTCCATTCTCTCCTGGTCACAAACGGTCGTTATGAGAAATCATACACTTTTGATATTTTAAGTCAAATCTTCATTTAGTACAGCTACAGTCAAACCTACAATATAGACCGCCTGTCTATAACTACAGTCAAACCTGCCTTAGAGACCACATGTCTATAGCTACAGTCAAACCTGCAATAGAAACCACATGTCTATAACTAGTCAAACCTGCAATAGAGACCGCCTGTCTATAGCAACAGTCAACCCTGCAATAGAAACCCCATGTCTATAACTAGTCAACCCTGCAATAGAAACCCCATGTCTATAACTAGTAAAACCTGCAATAGAGGCCGCCTGTCTATAGCTACAGTCAAAACTGCAATAGAGACCGCCTGTCTATAACAACAGTCAAACCTGCAATATAAACCACATGTCTATAACTAGTCAACCCTGCAATAGAAACCACATGTCTATAACTAGTCAAGCCTGCAATAGAGACCCCCTGTCTATAGCAACAGCCAAACCTGCAATATAAACCACATGTCTATAACTAGTAAAACCTGCAATAGAGACCGCCTGTCTATAGCTACAGTCAAACCTGCAATAGAGACTGCCTGTCTATAACTACTGTCAAAACTGCAATAGAGACCGCTGTCAATAACTACTGTCAAACATACATTACAGAATGCCAGCTTACTTAAATGTGAATAAACTAATATGTGCAATGTATTCTTGACAAGACAATCGCTATGTTGTTAAAAGGTAATTCATAAAATGTACACTGAAGGAATCACCAGATTTAAGGTAAGTCCCTAGGAATATACATGCTATATATACTCACATTGATCAGTGCTGAATGTAACTGCAGAAATATGAACTTCATTAGGTAATGACATATCATCAGTTATTTCAAATGAAACGGCTGTAACCTCGATAATACACCCAGTTAAGTGTACAGGCCACATTCTCACAACACCACATAATAACGGCATCATTTTTCGACAGACATTGATATAATTTAAGCTGCAACAGAAATTATCATATGTCATACGATTGCATATTTCACAAGTGATTGTTTAAATATCTACAGCACTAACATTGATAATCCTGTAGAAAACTCAAAAGCTGTTAAAGATTCTGACAAACAATCAATTAAGCAAGAGTAAATGATAGATACCTGTATACCTCTCTGATCTTACAAAGTACTGCTCCGACGGATAAATACAAATCATTGCAATGTATACTTTGCACTAGTTTCTCAGTTAGATTGGTAGTGTTGTAGCTATAAGACCAGTTAACAATGAAAATAGGATGTGAAAAACTGTTCAGGTTCCTGTCCCACTGAAAGCAACACACTAGAGAATTCTAATGTAGTTCTTATTCATACAAACAGCATCTTCCCCTAAATTTATTTTTTGATGTAACAGTAGAATGACTGGGCTAGGGTGTTATCATTGACTGCCAGACTTAGCTTGTAAGAGTGGCATTATAATGATTGGGAGTAAAGTGTTAAAATACTAGTCTGACCCTGTTCTAATGATCTTCTCAGAACACTGTTATTGATTTTTTTTGCTTATTTCATCTTTATTTTTTTCATAAAAGCTGCAAAAGGTATGGTTTTCTTTTTAGAGATCACTTCTCAAAGCAAGAGTTATCCCGGAACAAAGCTAGGGTTATACCAGAAAAAAGCTAGAGTTATACCAGAACAATCCTAGAGTTATAACAGAACAAAGCTAGTGTTATACCAGAACAAAACTAGAGTTATACCAGAACAAACTTAGTTATAACAGAATAACCCTAGAGTTATACCAGAACAACCCTAGAGTTATCCCAGTACAAAGCTAGAGTTATACCAGAACAAAGCTAGAGCTATACCAGAACAAACTTAGTTATAACAGAACAAAGCTAGAGTTATACCACAACAAACTTAGTTATAACAGAACAAAGCTAGAGTTATACCAGAACAAAGCTAGAGTTTTAACAGAACAAAGCTAGAGTTATACCAGAACAAATCTAGAGTTATACCAGAACAAAGCTAGAGGTATAACAGAATAAAGCTAGAGTTATACCAGAACAACCCTAGAGTTATAACAGAACAAATTAAAGCTAGAGTTATACCAGAACAAACTTAGTTATAACAGAACAAAGCTAGAGTTATAACAGAACAAAGCTAGAGTTATACCAGAACAAAGCTAGAGTTATACCAGAACAAACTTAGTTATAACAGAACAACCCTAGAGTTATACCAGAACAACCCTAGAGTTATAACAGAACAAAGCTAGAGTTATAACAGAACAAAGCTAGAGTTATACCAGAACAAAGCTAGAGTTGTACCTGAACAAAGCTAGAGTTATCCCTGAACAAAGCTAGAGTTATACCAGAACAACCCTAGAGTTATAATAGAACAAAGCTAGAGTTATACCAGAACAAAGCTAGAGTTATACCAGAACAAAGCTAGAGTTATAACAGAATAAAGCTACAGTTATACCAGAACAAAGCTAGAGTTATAACAGAACAAAGCTAGAGTTATACCAGAACAAAGCTAGAGTTATAACGGAATAAAGCTAGAGTTATACCAGTACAAAGCTAGAGTTATACCAGAACAAACTTAGTTATAACAGAACAAACCTAGTCATACTGGAAAAAAAGTTTGCAATACATAAATACAGTTTTTGCAGTGGTACAGGAATTCTTGTCAGTTTGAACTGCTACATATGCACACTTTTCCCTATTGCACACAATCAACTCTATTTTTGACATCAGGTGACATTTGCATTACTAAACAATAACTGGTATTTTATTATTTATGAATTATAATATATATATACATTAGGGTAATTAATGTTTTTTGTATGTACACAAATGTTAATTGAAAATCTAACAATGTACCTCCTCACCTAAAACAATTGATTACACATTGTGATCCCTTAAATAACAAGATGCAAAATTAACAGCTGTTATCGAACAGAATCACAAAACACCACCTTGCAAATATACAACTCTGTTACTGTCAAAATGACATCAAATAACCTTTAAAGATATCATGCAAATGATCAGAAACACTTATGAAGGAAATGATTTAACCTACTACAATACAAGTGGTCTGTACAATCAAATAATGCTCAAGCTTCACAAGAAAATGGCAATATATGCACCAAGCCATATAAACATTGTTTCCTAATTTCACAACACCAATTTGCATATTTATTTTCCTTTCCAAACAAAAAGCCTTTAGACACGTTTTTTCTTTATACTTTGTAGTAATCATTTTATCACAGTGTGAATCTACTGCAAGGCAGTGATAAGAATGGCCAATAGGTTTGGCTTTCTCTGCTGTATATGACAATGTAAACACATGTACTACAGTTCTCAGAATACATTAATATAGTGGTACATTCTCTTTCCTTATCGTCACTATAATAAAAATGTGAAAATTTGGAGAATTTTGTGGACATTTGGTTACAAAAAAACTAAGTCATTTTATTTTATTTTATTTTGTATGTATGGTATGTGTTCGTTTTACAAACTCTAAGCATAAATTGTTTTAGAATATCAGGTTGACCTACCTCAAAACATTGTACAGCATAGTCACCCATCATCCACATGTACATTACATTTGATTGATGATATTGAAATTAAACCAATATCTTACTATTTCTACCAAGAAAAATTCTGATTGTAGCATTTTAAGGGGAGGTAATCCAGTAATGACCCAATGATGAAACATTATTTTCATTATACTTGTAATGGATGCAAATAACAGAAAATAACAAACATATTCCTGTTGTTGATACTCTCTATTCTTCGAAAACATACTTCTAGATGTTATGAGTCAAGTCTGGCAGTATGTGAATTTCAGATTATCTGAAATAATTGATAGATGATCCATGATGAAAGGTTACCAATGTACATAACTATATTGTACATATATAATACATTAGGGCCTTATGTACTGCCAATGGGCATGAAGAGGATAGGTGAGGTGACTTATATAATATTGGTGTAATGCAATTATGGCATCACTAACACATTTCCTTACAAAGCTGAGGTAGACCATATGTTCAGCTGGTCCCTTACCATTCTTTTACAAGATATGCAAAAACAGATTTTACAAAAAATTGATAGCAAATAACCAATGTTTATCCTCGGCCGACCAATCAAATGTGAACACACCAGTGTGGATATAAAACAACTGACCACTATCCTGAAAAGACACAAACACGTCCTGATTGTACTTTGCCCATATTTCAAAGATTTTGCATGTCACACACATTTAAACAATACCAATGTGTGTGTTATGTTCAGTACAGAGATAAGCTTTTGACAAAGGCTGTTGAAAGCATATCACATGGTTTTCAATTGTACAGAAAAAAATCACTTATGGCAGTAACTCCAGTATTTCACTATGGTGTCCTTTGACAGAATTGTATTTTTGAGTAACAGCTACTCATAAGGAACAATATTTTGCACAGTAAATATCCTGAATCACCTACAACCTCACAATGTGTAAACCACATGGAAGGTTATTTTAACAAACATGTTCGATCAGTTTTACTTTCACCAAAAGAACAAAATCTTTTATCACGAATGCCTTCTTTTGACAAATACAGATGAGCTTCCACTTAAAATATCACAGGATATTTTCATATTCGTGCATTTTATGTACAAGTTCCTTTTTGACAATAACACATTTTTTTTCAGAATTTATCACACAGCCTTTCTAACGAGACGATTCAGTAGTCATTTTTAGTTTGTCCACTTGGCAGGCTTTTTTGAAAAGGCATGAATCTAAAGGCCTATACACATCACATGAATGTACACTTCACAAAGGCAGGTACTCCCAGAAGGATCTTGGCTGGATGACAGATTAGTCTGATCACATTACTGCAGTTTTTAGGGATTGGTTCCCATATTAGGAAGTTTCCTTACTACTTCCCAAGTCTAGCATGTTGTTATATGTCCAGATGTCACCAATTCTGTGAAAATACTGAAATAAAAAGAAGCATTTTTTTGGTTATAAATATTCCTGACATACAACTTCTGTATATATATGGTGGGTGGGACTTAAAATTAATAGCAAGTAACCTTAAATTACAGACCAATGAGCGTTACTCTACACCTTCTGGAACTTTGATGGAGGATTGTAAGACTCATACCAAGGAGTGTAGGGTAGGGAAATCACCCAAACGGTTTTCAGATTGGGTCGAGGGTTTTGCATCAAAATGAAAATTCCAAAGGTAGAATTTCTCTTTTCTACAGCCCTGGGCATAAAAAAACTATATCTTTCTGGTTCCTATCACCAGAATTAGCTCTGAAACTGTAAAACAGTGTCAGTTTCCTTATTGAAATGGTCCTAATCCATACACAGAGAAATGAGAGAATTCAGTATCTTTTACTGATGTTAGTCATGACTAATTGGCTCATATTTGCTCTCTACAGTTAAACAAAAGCAGTATAGGTATGTAAAGTCCCCCAGGTGAATATGGCATATACAAGGCACACATACCAGGTTTTCAAGTGGTTCGGGTTGATATCAGTGAGAAAGCATTGTGGTCTCATTGCACTAGTTTTATATAAGATGAGTGCCAGAATTTATTTAGTCAAGTTTAATATAATGAGTAAAATGTGTGCAAGATTTGATTGTACAGGTTATAATGATATCATATACTCCCCACCCTAATTATGCTGTTGGAATATATATTACACATTCATAATGGGCGTAATATTATATATCAAATATTTCCAAAATGCTATGTAAAGATGAAGAATAAGACTTAATTTAAGACCCCACTTTCTACTTTTTCAACAGTAATACTGGTACATTTGAATATTATTGACAAGACTTCGAGCATAATGTAAGTACAAGATTTAAGAAGAGGCACTTTGTTCTGAATTGAGCATTTCATAATTGAACATAAGCACGGGGGAAGTTCTATTTTGTTCAGCTACAACTTCAATGATATGATCCCCAGTACTTCAGTAAACCGTGATTAGCTCAATTTATTGCTTACCTTGGTAGGAAACTTGGTGTCGGTTTCCTTCCTGTGTCTTTCACCCTCTCGCTGTCTCTCCTCCAGCTGATCAACAGAAACCCGTGATATCATATATACAATGTTACCAACTAATTATATAACATTAAGGTTAAAGGGGAGACACTGACTAATAGAGTCTATCTGTAGCAGGTATTGGGGGGGGGGAGGGGGGGGACATGGAAGTTCTACCTACAGGTGTAAAATTTGGGTAAGAACCAAGGCTTTGTCAAGGTTCTGACAAAAAAATCTACACCTGAGGAGAGAATATCCACATTATACCAATAAATTCTCTAACCCCTGTTTTTTGGGGGGTAAAACATTCATCAAAAAGGCAAATGCAAACCTAGATAAATCAAAATACTTCATACATGTGAAAATATTAAACAAGCTCATTTTACAATAAGCATACAGAGAGAGAGCTCGCCTATTCAATACTTTTACTTAATATTTGTAAGTGAGAAAATCTTACTGGCCTCTTAATTAAGCTGAAGAATACCCAGTGTATCTTACAGAATTGGAATGGTCCCAGTAGGTTCAAGCTTAAAGGATAGGTAACAGATCTAACAGATTTAGAATACATACACTAACAGATATCTAACAGATTTAGAATACATACACTAACAGATATCTAATATACTCAGAATACTGGCACTAACAGATGTGTAACAGACTCAGAATACTGACACTAACAGATATCTTGTAGACTCAGAATACTGACACTAACAGATATCGAATATACTCAGAATACTGACACTAACAGATATCGAATATACTCAGAATACTGACACTAACCCATATCTAATATACTCAGAATACTGACAATAACAGATATCTAATATAATCAGAATACATCCACTAAGAGATATCTAATATACTCAGAATACTGACACTAACAGATATCGAATATACTCAGAATACTGAAACTAACAGATATCTAGCAGACTCAGAATACTGACACTAACAGATATCGAATATACTCAGAATACTGAAACTAACAGATATCTAATATACTCAGAATTCATCACTAACAGATATCTAATAGACTCAGAATACAGACACTAACAGATATCTAATAGACTCAGAATCCTGACACTAACAGATATCTAACAGACTGAGAATACTGACACTAACAGATATCTAGCAGACTCAGAATACTGACACTAACAGATATCTACTATACTCAGAATACTGACACTAACAGATATCTAACAGACTCAGAATACATACACTAACAGATATCTAACAGACTCAGAATACTGAAACTAACAGATATCTAGCAGACTCAGAATACTGACACTAACAGACTCAGAATACTGACACTAACAGATATCTAACAGACTCAGAATACTGACACTAACAGATATCTATATACTCAGATACTTACAAAGTGTTTATGTTCAGTTGCTGTATTCACATCACCGACTCTGAGAGCATTCGTCACATGTTGCCACAACTTGCGTGATTCATAGTCTCCTTGTTTATCCTGTGGTCGTACCCTCTTTCTGATTATGTTTAGATTGTTGACGTCAATGATTTTAGTCTCACCCTGAACACAAAATAAGTGTATCAAGATGAGGATTTTTAAAAAGTTTGCAATTTCTTTTTCTCACACCACTATGAAACTTTTCTTAAAAGGCATTTAATGGTGTCAATAGAAAAAGGTTATCCAAGCTGTATGTCTTTTTTTTCATGGAGATAAGTAAAGAAAATATACCTAAATCAAAATAAATGGTAATTATATTAGATGTGACTGATACAAAACCATATAGTTATAACAAACATATATTCTAGTAACAGTATTATCTATATATCTGCATCACTAATTTCATTTACTCACATCAAACATACCTTTGACTTTTTGATTGCTATTTTTAAATTTGCATCACTGCATGTTAAAACTCTATAAACTCCAAACATTTGTTTGACCATGATCAGTAACTTTACCAATCGTCACACATGTAAGATCCTCCATGTACACCAAACATTCTTTGGACTATTTGCTTGATATTCTTACATTTTCATAGCTGAACTCTAGATTATTGTTCCATTCCCCCTGGACTTTACAAGCGACAGTGCCAAGGTTGTTGTTCTTCACCTCAGCAGACACCCGGTGTAGCTTTCCTCCATAGAACGGCTGTAAATAAACATAACATACAGAATCGCTGTACACAACCAAAACAGATACAAGAGTAATCTACAACCTTAAGCACAACTTTAAAATTTAAGGACTGATATGGAAGCCGTATGAATATCTATGCATTTGCATAGAAATCTTTCCTATAAGGTTGGTAAGTATTCATAAAGCAAGCCATTATAACTACTTAAATTTCCAACTTTGAAAATATTTTTATACTCTTCTTTCTTGTATTAAAACAATGCATCAATATTTGGAATATACTAGTAGTTATTCAATACCAGTTCTTATATCGCTCTTTACCTTTTTCAGTTTAAAAATTATTAAGAACACATTGCAGTGTTAGAGTTATCTACCTTAGTGTGGAATGTGACGTTGGCAACAAAGTTGGTTTTTTGGCAGTTGATTGTAATCTTGTCCCCCATTTCTGCCCAGGGAACAGTGAGTATAGACCTTGCATAGGCACTAGGCATCATGAACACATACTCCTCATCATGCTGGAGTAACTTCAAACAAACTGAAATACAAGCAGTCAAACAAATAGAGACAGACTCTATGTCCATCTTATCCTAAATAGAGACAGACTCTATGTCCATTTTATCCTAAATAGAGACAGACTCTATGTCCATCTTATCCTTTAGCCAAATTCACTACTCCCTTAAGCAGGATCATCTTTATGATTACTTTGTACAGTACACAAATACAGTAGTTATTCTTTCACTTAATAATTTACAACTCTGGCAGTATTTGAAGGTAGACAGTGGTGGTTGTTTCACCCTAAAAACAGTTGATTTTACCCCAAGTTTTCAAATATTGCCCTAAGTAAATAATGTACCCCCTTAATCTAACATTCAGGGGGAACAACGGAAAAATTTCAACAGAACAACTTTAATATTATTCAGAGGTCTGATAAAGGAAGACTTGAATCCAACTTATATCTATACCAATGTCAGAGTTGAAATGATATTAATTGCTCAATAACTGTGGGCCACCTGGAGCAGGTTGACCCCCAGTCTGATGGGCGACACCTACTTTTTCCCACCATCTGTACTCCTATAGACATTCCCATGAAGCGTGACTTGGTGTATATGGAGGCATTCATGCACATTTGTTTCTCTGGACACTCAAAATAAAAGGCTGACACTGTGAAAAGGAATCAAATTAATTAGTTTAAATCTTAAATTCACATTTTATAATCAAAACAAAGTCTATTTCTTTTGATATTGTAATCACATTCTGCCACCAGTCCAGCTGAGATAATTTGAAATCAACATTTGTAATATAGGATTTTCCTACAAGTGTTCAGTTTAATTAAACAGATTTCACTCTGAAATCTTAATGCAAGTTTAATATTAAGACATGTGCAAAATGATTGATCATAAAAGACATGATAAAAACAGGAGATTTTAACAAGATAATGACAACTTATAAAACTTACCTGGGGGATGATGAGAGACTTGTTCCGCACAAAATGTCAATTGGGCTGGTTTACTACAGGACCCGTCATTCTTGTCGTTTGTCTGATTAATCTGGTCAGGTGACCCAGAAGTGTCTTTTGATTGGCTAGATTTGTTGTTGTTTTCTTGTAAACGCCAGGAGCAATGGAAGGTTTCTCCAATTATGGGATTGTAAGGCTTTTTGGCAACAGAACCCTAAAATGTAGGTAAATGCAGGAGATCGCTATAACAATAAACCATTGTATCAAAATAATCAGCCTAAATTATCAAAAACATTTTATGGGGCATTTGTAGTATACAAAAAGAATTGAAATTGTATCTGTTGAAGAATTTTTATGTCTACGGACGAAATTCTAGCAGATAATAAATGATGACGGGAGAAAATTCATGACATTGATGAAGAGCAAAAGTATCAACTTAACATCTCTGGTGATAAAAAAAAATCAACTTATGTTTTCCTGACCTTTCTGTAGTACCTTGATTTTCTAGCAAATTGTTTGAAAAGAGTTTATGATTTGCACATCTATGAAAAAAAATTAATGTATATATTACTGATAAGTAAATTCATATGCCTAATAAAGCACACTCTTCGTTTTTTTGAACAACAGACATACATAGTTAAAGCTCTGCTCGGTACCTTAAGCTTGATTACAAATACCTACCTGGACACAAAAAACAGATATAGACTGGTATGTGAATTACCTGTCTGGCCGCATGGAAAGACGTAAGGTACCATTCAAGGACAGCCAGCATCCGGGACTCCGGATCTGGAAGGTCAGCAATTCTGTAAAATAAAATCCATCACCTTTACTGTTAGGTAACTCTATAAGGTAAATGTTATAGTTTGACTAAATATCATAGCATCCCTCAGATTTGATATGAGAATTGCTACTGGAATATACCATGACCACATTTGGTCGTAATTCAACACCACCCCAATTATCACACATAAAATGTGAGACTTATTACAGGTATTTGCGCTATCACTTACTTGAGAAAGAAGTCAGGATGTGCCATACAGTCAGCAAACATTTCTAGTAGAGAACGTCGTTCCAGGATAAAGGTTGGGAGGACAACCTACAGGGAAAGAAATGTTACAATAATGTATTCTTGTACAAATTATTCAAGCCATTATGGTCTCATAACAAAAGACTATTGAATGTTTAGTTTACACAAAAACGACAGTACTATTACCAAATATTTTTAAAGTACACTGTATGTAAATAGTAATTTACCTCACCACTACCATTGTGCCATTTACCAGCGGTAACAAGACATTCCGATTGATATGTCTCGCCTATGCCCCGTTTTGACCAATGATCAATGCACATATCGTAAAATTTCTCTAACCACTTTCAAGTATTCTTGACATTTTCACTTACGTGAATTCGTAATTCCTTTAATTTGAAAACAGATTTTTGAGAAAGTTGAAAAAATCGAAAAACCACTGAAAATTAGATGTCAAAAAATTAACCGACTGAGATTCAGTATAAAAATAAATGGAACACGTGTTTATATGATTTGGTGAATAAGCACTGACCTTGGTAAGGTCCATGCCGAGTTTGAGCTGAGAAAGGAGGTGAAGGATGACACTTTTGTGTTCCTCCACCTCGTTACCCAGATCTGTGTCTCTGTAGCTGGCGCTGTCCTCTACTTCCTCATCGTGGTTAATCGGACCTGGTACAACAAATCATAGCTCGGTCAGAAAATTAGCAGTTTTCACCTTCATGCCTGCTTTAATTATTGTGTTTTATTATAAAATATGTACAAACTCATGGTATCATAAAAAAGACGTTCAGTGTCTACAGTGTTTTCTCCAAATCGGTTATCAAACATTGCTCAGTCAACTAAATGTTTTAAACAAGGTATAAATAAAAGTATTGTGCACTTAATAGAAGCAAACAGTGCTGCTGAATTTGAATATTTTCTTTGATTCTTTTCATAGTTTTGGTTAATAACAATAAAAATCTAAAATTTACTAAAAACATATAGATATAAGAAACCGACCTATCAATGTGATGCATGAACAAGAGGGAGAGCTTACACTAGCTGTACTTATAGGGCTCTGAATCTAATGTAACACTAAAGTACTCAGATACATCTGTAAAACAATTTTATCTTTCATTTGTTCGATACAAAATGTGTAAATCTAATTCCAACGAAGGCACAGCTACAATTCAAAGATACCAATATACACATGTAGGAGATAACTTACAGAAATGAAATGTAATTATAATCATATCAATTAATATGAAATAGGAATACATAGTATCATATACAAGGATAAAGAAATAAATATAAAAAAGAAATGCTAGCATGCTGACAGAAGGATCATTTAACTGAAAAAAATATGAGGAGATAAGATACAGTTTTTTCTTCAATAGCTTGCATGCTTTTTAGTACACTAACTGTTTTTAATAACCAAAATGGGGGTATAAATGTGTTTATGAAGAGATTTCATTAGTGTAAATTTACATGTTTAAGTCCTTAACGTGTAGGTATGTCTGATTTAAACAAGGAAGTATAGAAAGTGTGGTTTTAGGTATACCTGATGTAAAGTCATAACCCAGCCACGGCCAAAATAGCCACCCTTCACCCAAGGGAATGTCTTGATGACGGGAGGGATTGACCCACGCCTAGGGTTATGGACAATGACCTGTGACCTCAGGGAATGTCCTGATGACCCTATTACTACTCACCATCCTGGACTTGGTCAGGCAGGGTAAATGGCAGTGATGTGGCTGAAGAGAAACTTCCTGTAGGGGAGGGCACTCCCCCAGAACTTGTGGCTTTGGGTGCGGCCACATGATCATTACTGCGGTAAAGGAGTCAGATATCAGACTTAATAATGTTCCTGTCCATTCCTAACCTTTATTGGATTACAGACTCATGGAAGTAGTTGCCATTTTTTATAACAAAAAAAGTATCAAGCTTAAAAATAGCAAAACATCAACATAAATCCATCTTTGATATTTTATATCCAGCAAAATCCTGAATTTCAGAATTGAACATGATCATAACTCTCATGAGAGCACTAATTTGAACTCATCTAACATCACTGTGCCCAAAACGGGACAGCTACCCAAAACAGGACACATGTGGGAAAACGGCCCAAGAAACAGTCATGCAATGCAAAGAAGTACTTTTATGTATGCAGTCTTCACTTGACGAGTCATTTATGACAAATTAACTGTATACAAGCTTTATTGGCTGCTGATTATCTTAACAAAAACAAACCTTTCAAGATATCTGTGCCGTGCAATGCTATTTATTTGGATACTGATGCTAGTTTGGAGATTTTTTTTTTATCAAAACCTCCTTTGACTCTAAAATATTTGAACTATGATTCATTTATTGCTGATTTTGATTGTTTGTCCCCACATACTAGCCAACATACCAAAGTGTCCTTTTCAGGGATCAGTAACACCTATTCAAGAACCTACATGACCCTGATAGTATTTCATAATCTATTTATAGAACCAAACGCCTGAAATATCAATTTGTCATAGAAATGAAAAGAGGATGGTATCTATTTATGAAAAATGAACAAACAGTTATGTAATTGATAGTACATTATAAAGTTCATTGATATTTATCTAAAAAGTGTCCCGTTTTGGGTTCAGTGATGTAAGTGATATGAAATTAAATCACGGCTGTATGCCTTAACAATACTTGTAAACTTACATTGGTTGTGTGTTAGGGTCGCCCCAGTTGATAGCGGTAGAATTAGGGACAGGTTTGACGGATGCTCCCTACAGAAGAACAAAATATTACTCTCAGGAACAACAGAGAACTGAGGAGACTACACCAGCCTTTTCTGGGTGATAAGGAATCAACAAGTACAACAAAAGGCTGTCAGAAATGCAAGCAAACAAGGAAGCTGTCAGGAACAGAAGCAAACTCGGGCCAAGTGAGACCCTCCCTAGATTGGGAACAGTCACGGTAATGTCTACCGGTAGGTAAGATTTATAGTTTTTAAACATGTAATGCTATATTTATTTAGCACCTGGTTATTATATAACATGTCCAAATTCTTCTGAATCATACCTTAAAAGCTTATGGCTAACTACCTTTAATATCAATTGCCATAACTTTCTGTCCGGTTTAGCCTAGTCATATATGCATGTAGGTACAGTGGAATCTGTATTAAGCAACCACCCTAGACAGAAAAAAAACGCCACTAAATTATAGTGGTCATTGACAAAGTTTGGCCATATTTTTTTTACAGAATTACACAACTGACTAATCAAACAGCTCCTTATTCAGACAACTTTAAGCAGACCACCACCCCAAGTGCACGTTTAAACATGCTGTCTAGGTAGTTTGAAACAATATTGTTCAATAGATCAGGTGAATAACTTCATAATAGTTAAGTGATAATTATGACAGTAAACAAAACAAATGAGAGTGTTTAAGAAGAATTGTCATTTCACTCAGATCACCAGAGACTTGCTAAAGTTCTCATCTTATACTAGCAGTTTGCAACACATTTTCTGTCTTCACAATTTAAAAAGCTGAAAACCTCTAGAAAACAAAAACAAGGATCTTTGCAATTGACACAAGCAACAAAAAGAGCCATCATATTGAAAAGCCACACAATACTTTTTTTCCGAAAAATTACAGATCAATTTTACATTTAAAATGTAACAAAAATGCAGTGAAGATGTAAGGCCAAATAAAATCAATCTTTGGTTTTATTTTTGAAAAACGTGATGTGGTAGACGGCATTAAATAAAATCACATCAACTTAAATATTTGCCCACAGTTCATTATTTAAAGATTTCCTCGCATTAAATGAAGATGACCAATATAAAGGAGAGAACTGAACAATATTTAGGGGTTTACAGAAAAGACTGCAGCATCTACATACAACAGGACAGTGACAGCTGGAATGTCCATGCGGGTAACATATATACCTGTCGCTGTTGTAACATCTTCAGGCACTGTGACAGACAGGTGAGAGTGGCATTGGAGGTCGCCTTGATCAACAAAATATCCTGTAATGGAAACACACTCCTTTAAGGACCCCTGTCCCACTGCGCTGCCATTTTCCCTATCATCCAGTCAGTTACCTCCCCTCAAATTTCGTTTGGATATAACTGTTACAGCCTGTAGCACATTAAGGCTCATGTACTTCCATTGACCAGATAGCTCAATCGGTTTCAGTAATGGTTTAATTATACAATTAAAGGGCTCAAATTCCGGTATAGCCCTACAGAACATATGACACTCAGAATAGGATTGATACTTATATTTTTGTTTGTTTTTTATCTCCATTATGTAAAGTTTAAGTCCCAAAAGGTATTTTTTCTTTTCAAAAATTGATTTATCAAAGCTATAGTCATGCTGAAGAAATAAGATTTGAATGCATAGTTTAATTTGTACCCCGTATCCTTATTTCCAATTATACTAGTCACCATACTGTGTTTTAACACTTCAGGCCTAACTTCCTGGGTTGACAACCCCCAGAGGTGTCACTCGGGCAGATCTCCCTCCACTTGAGGTTTTAGTCAGAGGGAGATGTAATGTGACAAATATATTTTATCAGCAAATTAACGTTTAATTCTCACCAGTCAACTGTACTCTACCGAATAACAATATAATGATTCAGCAATGCCGATGAGAATCAGTAATTGTCTTTTTCATATACCAAACATATCAGGCACCTCGCCTTGTTTAAAAACTTCCTACATAAGTGTATGAAGTATGTCAGATTTAACATCAATTCTGTAGGGGCTAAACAATGTATTATTGTCTACAGATACAATGACGTCTATTCAACAAGATAACTTAATTATTAATAAGTAATTTTCTGAACAAAATACTTACTGGATCCAGGCCTGTAACTGTTTCTCCTGAGGAAGGAAGGTGCTGCAAAATTGATATATCAATCTTTAAAAATGTAAGACACATGTACTTCCATCTTTCAAATATTATGAAATCAATATTTATCAGCTGACCAGAAAATGCAGTGATCTTTATGTAGATTTGTAAAAAAAATTGTGCAAAGTATCCTTTAAACCCGAAGTTTTTGCTATTCTAATCTAGGATGAATAAAACACAACACATTTTGATCAATATTACATTGTATTTTACGGCTTTTCTGTGAAATGTGAAACACACTTTGCCAGTTATTGAACTGTTTAAGTTGTGGTTATCAGTATCCAAATCAATTATCACCAAATGCAACAAAGAAGGTGTGGAATGAAAACTGATGTCTACATACACCTAAGGTTTATAACTTGTGAGAGGTAAATATAATCTGCTGAAACCTACATTGAGTTTATCATTGAGGGACTCAGAGTAGTCCTCGGCCTCTATGATGTACTCCTTGACCTCGCGGAAGGGGTCGAGGGTGTGGGGATGGGCTGCCGGGGCCTTGCTGTGAGACCTGTAATGAAAGCACACATACAGTTACTTATACCATTCTAGTCACACAATAACATCATACCTATTTTGAGTGCTCCCAGATAACAACTGGAACTGGAATACTAACATATGCTTTTTGATATAATTATAATTGGGAAGGTAAAGACCAAAACAGAGAAATTACAGATTGAAATTAGGGAAATACAGCGTCAATTTTCAAATGGGAATGGGTCTGTGTACCCGACTATATAAACTCCCGGCCAAAAACCTGGGAGTCCTACTCCTCACTCACCTGCCAGCAACAGCTTTGGTTGGTGGCCCTCCTTCATGATCACCACGGACAGACGGAGACTTCCTTGGCCTAACAGGAATGTTTGATGCCTCGTTAGGGGACAGGTTTATGGACAAAGACCGCACATCAGGTTTTTGTGAGGGAGAACTCTGAAATACATACAGTCGTAATACTGGGTACATCTTAGAGAAAGATGTATTTTTTATGAACAATAATTAAAATACAAAATTATTATCAAATAAGAAATAAATATCTCACAGGCAATGGAAGACAGTAGGATGTAAATATGACTACAAGTCTTTGTGAAAACTCATAAATGTTTTTTCATATATATAAACAACAATCCTCATATTGTCCATGTACATGTACAATCAAAAGACAGATCAGCAAGGAATATTTGTGTCTATCACTACGACCTCTAGACATCTACACCATGTCATGTGTCTGAGGACTAAAATTGGATGTGATCATAACTACCAGTAATTACCCCCAGGTAAGGTGAAATCTGCTTCCTTTCATAACAAATTTACAAAAATCTGGAAACATAAAGGGTAAGGGTTGAAATCAATTCTTTGAATAAGCCCTGGTAATATTCATTCTGTCCCCTTACTAAGAATTACACTTTTCATAAATGATCAATGATGATCACATGCTTTATCAATGTTGGCCAGACAATGAGATGTAAACAGTAGCATGCTGTACTCACGTTGACCATGTTGGCTGTGTGGTACTCGGCTGTGGACCGTAGCTTGTCTACCCAGTGTTGTCTCTCCTTAGCATCAGACGCTGAAAACCAAACAACATATCACTTATACCTGTCAAGTAACATGTATTCGCATTTCAATTAGGTACGGTTACTTTGAACAAGTACATCTAAACATCAAACACAGAAATATTTTGTCAATTGAACAATTGTCTGCCCTGATTTATTTATTTTTTTAGTGTTATTTACTGCACGATTATCAGAGAAAATCTGGCGAGCTTTTCTGAAGTGAAGAATATCTCATGTTATTTATGTCTGTTAACTGGTTGACATTCAATCAGACAGCAGCATTTACCAGCTGGTACACAGTGAAATAACTTACGTCCTATTGAATTTAAATCAAACAATTAATATCTGATGATAGAAATTCATTAATAAAGATTGAATACCTCTCAATCTGTACAGCTCTCCATTGGCTGCGTTTACTGTGAACGTCTGCGAGTCCTCGTCTGAGGGGGATATAACTGATGCCTGAAGTATCGAAATATGAAATGTAAGTACGTATCTAAACATGTTCCTTTGATATGTTGAATGATCAAAATAAAATGTGTACAAAATGTTGTGTACAATGTGAAGAAATATAATTGTTGACTACAACTACATATATTGTGAAACGTGTGACTATATCCTCAGTGAACTTACCGCCAACTGTACATAACCTCTGGGCCTCTGTTTCTTCTGTTCTTCTTTCTGTGGAAAATCAATCAACAGTACAGTGTGTACATTGTGTATTACGAATCACATTCACTTATTGATGATGTATACAATGACCTTGTTTTTCATCAATTATTTTGTAAAGTTTAATGTATATGTTTCACCACTTTAAACCTATGTAGTACACAGAAGTGAGGTTGGTGTCTCTATCATACCATGTGTTTCACAACTCCCAACCTGTATAATAAATAGTAGTGAGATTGGTGTCTCTATCATACCGTGTGTTTCACTACTCCCAACCTGTGTAATAAACAGTAGTGAGATTGGTGTCTCTATCATACCCTGTGTTTCACAACTCCCAACCTGTGTAATAAACAGTAGTGAGATTGGTGTCTCTATCATGCCCTGTGTTTCACAACTCCCAACCTGTGTAATAAACAGTAGTGAGATTAGTGTCTCTATCATACCGTGTGTTTCACAACTCCCAACCTGTATAATAAACATAAGTGAGATTGGTGTCTCTATCATACCATGTGTTTCACTACTCCCAACCTGTATAATTAACAGTAGTGAGATTGGTGTCTCTATCATACCGTGTGTTTCACAACTCCCAACCTGTGTAATAAACAGTATCGAGATATTGGTGTCTCTATCATACCGTGTGTTTCACAACTCCCAACCTGTGTAATAAACAGTAGTGAGGTTGGTGTCTCTATCATACCGTGTGTTTCACTATACTCCCAACCTGTGTAATAAACAGTAGTGAGATATTGGTGTCTCTATTATACCATGTGTTTCACAACTCCCAACCTGTGTAATAAACAGTAGTGAGGTTGGTGTCTCTATCATACCGTGTGTTTCACTATACTCCCAACCTGTGTAATAAACAGTAGTGAGATTGGTGTCTCTATCATACCGTGTGTTTCACAACTCCCAACCTGTGTAATTAACATTAGTGAGATTGGTGTCTCTATCATACCATGTGTTTCACTACTCCCAACCTATGTAATAAACAGTCGTGAGATATTGGTGTCTCTATGATACCATGTGTTTCACAACTCCCAACCTGTGTAATTAACATTAGTGAGATTGGTGTCTCTATCATACCATGTGTTTCACTACTCTCAACCTGTGTAATAAACAGTCGTGAGATATTGGTGTCTCTATCATACCATGTGTTTCACAACTCCCAACCTGTATAATAAACAGTAGTGAGCTATTGGTGTCTCTATCATACTGTGTGTTTCTCAACTCCCAACCTGTGTAATAAACAGTCGTGAGATATTGGTGTCTCTATGATACCGTGTGTTTCACAACTCCCAACCTGTGTAATTAACAGTAGTGAGGTTGGTGTATCTATCATACCGTGTGTTTCACAACTCCCAACCTGTGTAATTAACAGTAGTGAGATTGGTGTCTCTATCATGCCGTGTGTTTCACTACTCCCAACCTGTGTTATTAACAGTAGTGAGATTGGTGTCTCTATCATACCATGTGTTTCACAACTCCCAACCTGTATAATAAACAGTAGTGAGATATTGGTGTCTCTATCATACCGTGTGTTTCACAACTCCCAACCTGTGTTATTAACAGTAGTGAGATTGGTGTCTCTATCATACTGTGAGTTTCACTACTCCCAACCTGTATAATTAACAGTGGTGAGATTGGTGTCTCTATCATACCATGTGTTATTGTTTGTTAATTTTCGATTTGTGAAAAGACACTTGATAAATCGTAACTATATACTGTACATAAATGAAAGCCTTCTAGGATATGTTTACTGCGGTTTACCTTTCACCTTTTTCGCCTCCATGACACTGAGAGCAAACTTATCATAACAAATATTAGTACCAAGCAATTACCATATATATAGAAATGACATGTGATGGAAAAATTAACACTTGGAGAATATGTAATTTTCAGGATAAGAGCAAAAGTTCAACTGAGCGAACATTTTAGCAGTACACTTGTTTGTATGGGGTTTATCGTCCTCTAAACAGCCAGGGTCATATGAGGACATCTTCGTAACAGCCAGGGTCATATGAGGACGTGCTTCTTAGCGCATTATGTTGTTTGCTTGCAAAGCTGTGTCATTCAAATAGATCATAAATACCATACAAAAACAGTTCAATACTTATATTTACATTTTCTCTGCCTCTTATGTTCTTTTTTAACTTATAATTTATATTTAAAATTAAAAATGCCCGCCTTATCGACAGTCCAAACAATTTCGTTCAATAGTTTGAACAGCGTATTGTCGCGTGCTGATTGGCAAACAAAGTAGTACTTTGAAATTTTAACAAACACTTCAATTTTATTCCACAATTCAGTATCAATACAATTGCGTATGATATGTCTATAGGGTGATTTAAGTTTATCAATAGAACTCTGAGTTGAAAGTTAGATTTGAAATTGTTTCGATTTTTTCCCGGAACAAATTTCCCCGCATGGACAAATATAGTGAACACCGTAAATCCGACCTTGCCCTCCACAAGGGAGTTATTTTTGGAAGTTAATTCAAACTTTTCTCTTTGCTCATTTTGTGAAGAATCCAGGCGTGAATGTATTTGTTGATTGTATGGGAACTTGACAACAATCGGTAGATTCTATAACAGCGTCGTTAGGGTATTTGACATGTCGTCAGAAACTGATAGCGTTTGAAGTGAGTGATCTTGCGACGGAGCACAGGTTCGTTACAAATGTCTGAAATGTTTATGTGTGCTGTGACTTATATCAGTAGGTCTGTAACATATGTGTCAGTAGGTCTATAGAATATGTGTATTTCAGACGTTTGTAACGAACCCCTGTTGATTAGTGCAGTGTAACAGACGATATTTCTGATAAATTGCATGAGCGTTAAAAATTGTTTCCATTGCCGGCATTGGTGATTTCAACCGATGTGCATTTTGTACGATATTGCAGACCTTGCTCTTGTTTTCGTTGTAATGAAAGTGTTTTTTATTTTGCATATAAATTTACAATGACATTGTCAAATATCACAGTGCCCAGCGATATTTCAGCAGCCGTCATGTTCATTTATATTGGATGTTGTAGTTCCGGTCAGTGTTGTATTAATATGCGAAGAATTATGTCTCGTGCTGCATGGTAATTAAAGTCCCATCAACGACACAGCTTTCAAAGAGGCTATATAGTGACAATGCCATGCAAATGTAAATATATATACATAATATACTATTTATATATGTATTTATTGAGCTTCCTTCAATTTCACATCAAATCCTTAATATTGAAATTTACATATACCACTACATGTACAGTACACATATATATATATATATATATTGATTGATGGATTTTTAACATCAATTTTTAATGTACTTTGACATCACGATTGAATTTAAAGCTGATACTTTGATATTTACATGCAAGTCACAGAACAACCTTATATTGATTAGCAGATCTGATAGAGCTACCCAGCAGCTGTAATTACGGTACCTGTGCAAATCATTGTAAATTAGGGCGTTGCACAGGTATGTAATTACACATCCTACAAACAGCTCCAATGTTAACAAATGGCTATAGACTGATATAGTATATTATTTTTACAGGGAATGTTTGCAACCTGTGTGTTCACAAAATGCTTCTGAGTTTATTTGGTCACAGACTTTACATGAAAATCTTTTGCTATATATTACTGCATATGCAAGATGACGTACCTCAAAATATTCGAGCATGCCCGACTCTGGATCAAGGACGAACCATCTGAACTGCCAGCCTTTGAAGGCATTGGTGTATTTGTGTAGTTGTCCCTCCATTGGTTGTCTGTCAAACACAGCAGGTCATAACATTATAGACATAGCACTGTTCAAGACATTATAGACATATAGTCATATGACATTACAATCACACAAGTTTCATGACATTACAATAGGTTCATGACATTACAATCACAATCACACATGTCATATGACATTACAATCACACATGTCATATGACATTATAATCACACATATCTCATGACATTACAGTCACACGAAATCAACTAAAAAAGTACCAATCAAAATGTATAAACCTTCAAAGAACATATAACACCCGACTGTCTTCCAGGCTGAGACTGTATTTGACTTTCTGTCAGCAGTATAACATTTCTTTATAGAAACTCTATTACTTTTTATACTTATCAGACACATGTTACAATGCAGCCAACTTTCGGTGTTTTAAAAAAAATGACTTTATATATATTCAAGGAAACAGACACTTGACAAAGTATATTGTGCAAGTAGCCTCTAGAAACTTGTAAAGTATCCAGTTTTGCCTTACAGGAACTCAGCATGCTAATATACATATCCTCTTGTTAATTGAAAGGAAGTCTATCCTTTGGTAGAGTCATAGAACTCTGTTATAACTACAATGAATAAGAGCTCCCATTTTATCTGATTTGGATCATAGTTTGGTTTGTTTATCTGTAATTTTTGACCCTAACAATTAACAGCTGGGGTCATTGAAGGAGGAGACAGGTTCTGACGGTGGAGGAAAACTGGAGTACTCGGAGATTAATCACCAACCTGAGGCTAGTGCCTGGCAGCTGCCCCATGTAGGCCTCCAACCCCCTACTCAGTGGTCGAGGGCTGGTGATCAAGGATGGTCAGACACTTAACCACTTGGCCTCCATGGCGTTTCAGAAAAGAGTTAGATATGTGTACGCACTTTGATATACTGTGTATGTACTGTGTTCTGAGTAGAAATAAATTGTACTCTAGTGTTTTGAATAGGTATAAATGTACTCCATGTTCTGGGTGACGTTTAGTGCCCTCAGTGTTCTGAGTAAGTCACAAATGTAGTTTATAAAAAAAAAAAAGTGTTTTGAGAAGGTAATAAATGTTGTAACACAAGTGTTCTGAATAGATACAACATACACAGTGTTCTGTACTGACTCCTTGTACAGTGTAGATACTATGTACATGTACCAATAACTAACATGTTAGGACCAATTTACTTACGTTAGTTTGAGAAACAGTTAAGATTTAAGAAACAGTTAAGATTTAAGACAAGTTGAACAGTTTAAGTCACTTGATTTCACTGTTGCTAGTTTTAGTGACCTAAATGTGGATTGTCTATAACTAAGTGTTATATATAATCAGCTGTTTTATCAGTTATCTAGAGCTGTCGACAGGATGGTTGACTAATATCCCCGCTTCCGCCAAGTAATGTATATTTGAGAGTTATACTTCAACGCATTTAGCAGGATAAATAGTATCTTTGTTTAAACAAGAAATTAAAATGTTGGTGCACAGGAGTTGTACGGACAACCTTTTCCCACAAAGGGGCATAACTCCATCAAAAAGGGTCAAAATCCCAAATTAAAATGCAGCTGCACAACTACAAAAAAAAACAAGAGTACTGTGGGGCGGAACAACATAGGCCCGTCGATTGCCATATAGTGTTTTATACTTTCTGACATTGATATAAGATCTGCATCATTCTAAGACTGGTTAGCTGACATGCTATAAAAAATGTAGGAGAAAATCTCCAGACAAAAATTCAAATACTGAAATGAACAAAGGGCAATAAGTTTTGACAAAATTGTCGAATGAATATTTTTTTTATGGAAGACACAACTTCATATCATGATTATAATGTATACCAAGTTTCAAAGAGATCAGTCGAAAAATGTAGGAGGAGATTGCCAGACAAACAAAAGTTTATGCCAGTCGGGCGGATGGACAACCCCAACCCAATTAAGGAGGAGTTGCGTGGACAAGTATTTCGCACAAAGTGGCATAATTCCACCAAAAAGGGTCAAAATCCCAAATAAAAGTATACAATCTCATCTTCCAAATGTTAGTTGATCCTGCAGTATAATATCCCCTACAATGATGTGTATAGTGGTGTAATGTTGGGTCGTACATTTTATGGTCATACATTTCATGGTCATATATATTTCATCGATTAAGTGCAATGGATAACTGTGACAGTGTCCGTAGGTTTGTCCCCTTATGAAACATTGATGGGCTTCAGCAGAGTGTACACATTCACTAGTCCCCTGTGGTGTTTCTGTCGAGGAAGAACCAACACGATGACAAATTGTGGTGCGTTACAAGTCAAACAGACAATCAATCAGGAACATACCTCATATGTTTTGTTCCCTCCACTTCTTCAAAATCCTACAAGCAGAAATGAAAAACAACACTTAAAATTAAATTTGACTCGACATACACAGAGAGACGGATGTATCACACGTTCCAACTGAGAAACAGGTTTCATTCCAGGCCTACAGTTTATAATGTCAGTCTATGCTGTATAAAATAAAACAGATTTTACAGGAAAAAGGGTGTGAACATACATTATTGATAACCAGGCAGTGAATGTGTTTGACACTCATCGTTACCTACACTCATACGCACTGACTTCCCGGTCGGATTGCGTACCTCGTGTTTTATATACAACATAGCTTCACTGAATCAATACCCATTATTTGGATTACCTCCACACGCTGGAGTTGTAGGGGTGGTACCCTGGCCTAACATCACCTACATGTTGTTAGGATCAATAAGGGCACACCCTCTTTTGGCCGGACAGTTGTATAACATCTAGACTCTATTGACAAATTAAATACTAATACTGGGAAGAGTGGGGTATGAACAATTTGTTATATTGCTGTGGAGGGAGAAATCAGATTTATTGATCTGATACTAGACTTATATGATATAACTATTTATCACATAATGTACTGTGTTATAATCCAGTGAATATTCACCCATGCAATATGACCCTTCAGCCCTGTGATTGGTTGTAAGTTTCAATTGTTTCACTGGCGTCAAAATGGCGGCTTTTTACATTTCAGGGTTGCATGGAACTTGTCGCTTTACACATATATATGTAATAAAAAAGATCTTACACTCGTTATCATTTCATATGAAATTTATGAAACTTGAGTAATGTCACAAATTTTTCACTTTAGCTCGCCAGAGGCTCGCTAAAATGAAAATTCTTAGGCTTGTTTCATAAATCTCATATGAAATGGAAACTCATGTAAGATCCTATATATATCAATATGTTGTAAAAAGTTATTTAAAACTTAAACAGTATTGATATATACTGTATGTATAAATTCTTTTAAAACAAGTTCATACTCACACTACAAAACGTCCATGTACTATAAGGATATCCTGAATTATTGGAGGATTTTAAAACATAGTACGTGTAGCTAATTGTAATAGGCCTAGGCCTACAACATGTTTGTGATATTTTTGGGCGGTGATCTATATTAAGTAAAATCAATGCACTGCCTCATACATTAGTTAATTTGTGTATGAGAACAGGTTTATATAGGCGACACTTTCATATGTCACATGTCTTCAAGTGACGGTGAAAATTAATTACAGTTGAAATTAAAGCACTGCCTTAACTAAAATCGTTCAACTGTCAAGTGTTTAATATGTAGACTGCTTTTTGTAAGTGAACATTCACTTTCAATAGTTCAAGTTGTATGTATAATGTAGCAACCCTTTTCCCCTACTCCCAGTGCAGAGGAATATAAGCAAGATATATATATATGCTTATCAAGAAATTACAATAAACAGAGCAGCAAGTACAACCAGGGGTTTTCTTGTTTACATAGCCTATAAGTACATAAACTGACAGCAGACATACAGTTTAAGTATGGGCCTCAGGGATATAGCAAATTTCTGGGTCTTTGAGAACTGGGCCCATATTCATGCTCATACCCCTACTCTGTGCTCAAGGTCAATTTCTTGTTCCAGTGATAAATGAATAAAAATCACACAACTTGTCCATGATTTGACAAAATTTTGAAGAGTGCCGCTGAATACTATTTTCAGTGTTTTTTAAATACTTGACATTTTTACCTGGTCACATGATTTAAGCAAGAAACAAGAAAATGATTTGAGCCCAAAGTTCATGCTTGAGCATGAGAACGGTTTCATTGAATATCGGCCCAAGTCTACTTCCTGAGGCGAAACCAAAATACACCTGGTTGAGGGGAAGCAGAAACGTGCTATATCCTGAAATCCTACAGTTTTAACGTTTTCTTATATTGATGCACAATGCATGTACATTCTCAAAAGCTAATATTCCAAAATCTATACACTTTCAGTATAATTCTGCTCTGTTAAGTCCCAAGGTGGATCACAACTGTGGAGGGTTGGGTCAATACAAGCTCACCTACCAGTCACCTCATTGACTAGGTCATTGCCAACAGGAAGTTACAGATATTAAACCAAGGAAGTTAGTCTACACCCCTGGGAACCGCTGAGAGGAGGGGTTTTAGATTACAGACTAACACATGGTTGATACTGAGAACTAACTCGCTGACAGCAAAGTCAGGGTAAAAGTGGGGATATAGTCAGTTTTATTATCATATGTTACTTATATATGGAACATGATAAACTGCAGTCACAAGATGTGAATTTTTGTCAACCAGATTTTTTTATGACAATGTCATCATATTGATTGTCTCATGTGACTGACATCATTGTTTTACCAATGATGACTCACGCCATGTAGATATTCATTTGAAGTATAATAAATTTGTTTATTCAGAAATTGATATGCAAATGTCTTTGGGTCAAAGTTAGGTTGTTTAAACAAACACTATCAACGTTAACACTTTCATTTAAAACAAACATGTCTGCCGTTTAATGAATGGCCCGGGAGTTGATATGCAGGCGGGCAACTGTGGTATAATGATTTATATTCAACTGTGTTAGTTTTCTCAAGTATAGGCTATGTATACCAGCTCAAGCAATCTACATTATACTTGAGAATAAACTCACTCAATAGGATATATAAATAGATTGCGATCAATCATTACTACTAGGATGATATATCTTTTTCTCTCACAACACATAGTCCTTCCTGACGTCAAGGCATGACCTGATGTATCCGACGACGCAGGACGAATTGTACTATAAAACACTTTTACGATAACACATTTTAACTCTGATTGTTGTTTTTTCTATGTAAGAGAGTGACAGTGACTTCAGACAGAGATATTTGTTTTATTAGGAGCAGCACTTTCACAGAATTGGAAAAATCATATGCACATCTTTATGTTGTTTTCAAAACATTTTTTAATACTGAAAGTGCAACAATAACATTTGACTTGTATACATAATGATAATTAATATAGGAAAGAGGTCTTTTCTTTTTTAACATGTGATTTTTCTCAAATTATTGTAAACTGTTGATCGTGCAAATGGGAAAATTATCATATGAAATTAGAAAAATTACCTAAACTTATCCTAGAGAATTTAATTAGGCTTTGTATAACAGTACCAAATATCCTAGAGAATTTAATTAGGCTTTGTATAACAGTACCAAATATCCTAGAGAATTTAATTAGGCTTTGTATAACAGTACCAAATATATATAAAAATATATAACTGTTATCAATTATCTGTGAGTGGGAAAAGTACAGAAATCATACACAATTATATATGTGTGTTTTAGTAGACATCTTCCATTTATTTCAGAGAAAACAGCATAATAAACAGAGATATATATATGTAAATGATATGCTTGGCCTAGATAGACAAATAGTAATGTTCATTATTATAAAATTATGCATGAATTAAATTCCGGTATACTGTACATACAATATATGTAAAATGTTTGTCACCATGTAATTAAATACTAGCCGCTTCCTACCAACTCTGCTAGGGAGAATTTCTCTTCAGCTCATTTAGTAGAGTGTAAGACTAGTGAGCCTGAGGTCCTTAAGCGGAGGCATTGAAAAAAAAAATGACCTCTGTTACATAAAATAAGTCCTAATTCTTATGCTGCCATCATTTGTCCAGAGAAATGTCAGCGTTATAAAGGGGTTTGGTGGTAAATTGAGGGAAATATATGAAGGAATTCTAGGAAAGGGAGAAAAAGGGACCTTGAAATATGTTGGTGTTTAAAGTGAGGTGGAAAATGAAACGAGGGGTATCTATTGAGGTTTTTGTGAGGTGGCAAATGAAACGAGGGGCATTTATTGAGGTTTTTGTGAGGTGGCAAATGAAACGAGGGGCATTTATTGAGGTTTTTGTGAGGTGGCAAATGAAACGAGGGGCATTTATTGAGGTTTTTGTGAGGTGGCAAATGAAACGAGGGGCATTTATTGAGGTTTTGGTGAGGTGGCAAATGAAACGAGGGGCATTTATTGAGGTTTTTGTGAGGTGGCAAATGAAACGAGGGGCATTTATTGAGGTTTTTGTGAGGTGGCAAATGAAACGAGGGGCATTTATTGAGGTTTTGTTCTACCGTATTTGACTTAACAAGAGCACTTGGCACAGGTAACTGACAAGTGGGCTGGGGAACCTTTAATTAGACAAATATTTCCTTAAACAACATTTCTCATATTTTGGCCATTTTCTCACTGCAACAGAAATATGAAGATCTATTAATCTCTCTAGATCCCAAGTTGAATTCCATATATAATAGTAATAAGCAGTCTCTACCATTCTGAAAGAAGGCATTGGTTACATTATCAGTAAATTATGTTGGCAAAAGCTGTCCACTTAAGGACATTCCAATATGGCTGCCACACCAAACTGTATATCAAATTCAATAATGCATTCCGTTAACATTAAACAATCCCTGTCAAAAAAAGATTCTCCTCCAATATTTCTCAAACATAATTGAGGTACGCGCACACTGAATTTCAGAAAAATCATTCAATAACTGATAAAAAAAACTCACTTTTTATACATTGTATGTCCATTTTCCTAGCTAAATAAAGTCACAGTTCAGGAAAAGAAAAAATTAAACTTGTAAATATCATAAGGTTGGATGTCCATGGAGATGCATTTGTCGAGAAAAATGTGAGAAAATGCTTCAAATCTTATTTAGCTTGGAAAATGGATCAATTGTATCTTTCATTGATGTTTGACATAAATAAATGTGTTGATCGTCGTTTGTCTTTGAGTTCCGTGTTCCAAGGGAGATTATCTCGTGTCCAAGATGGCAGTCTGCCATAATCGTCAATCTTTTCATGAAAAAAATTTGAAATTGCTTATACCTGTGTATTTTTACCCCCCCCCCCACCCTTTGGGTATTAAATCTCTGAAAAAAAAGTGCGTAAATTACATGGGTTTTTACGGTAACTTCGAGTCCTGATAGAAGACCAAAAATCACAGACTCCAGTTATAGCTACGAGTCC